TTGGACGGTATAATGTGTGCGACCGATTTAATGAGCCACAAATGAGAAGTAGTGCTTAAACAGTATAAAACTACAACTTTCCCTTCTGTTGATAAAGGGCGCAGCTATCTTGGATTCTGAACTCGGGATCCTCTGTGCTGCTCCGAGATATTTCTCAGATCTCCGAGAAATGGGAGCACGCATGTCATCACTTTTGGAATCCGACTCGGAATACGAGTTCCTAGGGCAAATGGAATGCACCAAAACGGCCCGAATTGGTTTGACAGAGACATTTCATGGATTTTGAGTCATTCTGCGCTGCAGATGGGTTAATTCCGTTAAAAATGTTAATCAGATTAATCATGATGATGGATTAATCCGCGTTAACCCGTTAATTTTGACAGCCCTTGTTTTAATTTGAAAAGCAAGTTCCCTAAAGTAGAAAATTGTTTGCATGGTATGCAAACAAAATATATTACAATGGAAACCGTTAATAGTGATTACGTCTGTCTAGGTGAAATTGATCACTATAAACAGATGGTCATTATTACCAATTTTTCTTTATGTCTCTGGCAGATTGCCATCTAACTGACATTTGAATATTTATTACATGAATATAAGGTAATAAAACGGACAGCGTCACTACTGAATTTTATTGACTCTCAAAATACAGTACAGCTGTTTTTCAAATTACAGTCCTGCATAAATTAATTACGGATCTGTTTGTAATTCAAATATGCTGTATTACAGTACAGTACTGTACATAAAGTGTAGTTTCACTACTGCATCTCGTTGGCTTGTTTTTTCAGTTTCCCCTCATGTTTCTGTGCATGCAGCATTAGCCTCTGGTACTGTAGCTAGCCAGAAGCAGACAGGTTACAGCAAGGCAAAGTAAGCAAGTTAAATAGTAAATATAATAATTACCAAAATGTTATGTATGAAAAGACCCAAAATGAATACTTTAAGCAGACTACTTGATTACTATAAGAAAATTAAGTAGTATTTGTGTCCAAAGCTTTTTGATCCACATAAGCAGTTGATCACTATAACTGTGATCACTATAAGCGGTTTCCACTGTATTTTAAATATTGGTATTGTTAAAACCGATTGGTAGTATTGTGGTAAATGGATGAGACCGTCCGGGAGTAATAAGGAAATTAGCCACAGGTGCAATCAATAACTAAGCAGGGGAGGGACATGTAGCGGAGTGTGGTGATAAGAGGGGAAAAGTTGGAGACGGGGGAGAGAAATGTCAGTCAGTGTTGCATGAGGGGTTGATCAGTGCTGGTCGAGGTCATTAGGATCGCTGCCGGCGAAGATAGGTAGGGGATGAAATAGGTAGATGTTGCGCGGATGTATTAGGGCGACACTGTTGCCGGCGGGTTAGACTACTGTCATTACAGGAGGATGTTGGTTCCCAGCCTTGTTTAATCCCTGGGGCTTAGTTGATTAGCCCCCGTGGGTGGGTCTGGTAGAGGAAAGGGAAGTGTCCTTTT